TTTTAATCATGTGCATGGACCAAAGGGTGTGCCACTAACATTTGTTTATTATTATTGTCTGATTTTTCCGGCCCACTGTCCCTGTACTTTATGACCAGTCCCTAATGACGTTAGATGTTTCAAAAAGTCTTTTACCGGGTAATGTTTTATTAGTAGGGCAGCAGAGAATATTACCATAGTTGGAAAGACAATTTTGCAATTAGTAAATCGGTGAGTTCTGAAGGAAATAAGTTTAAGACTACCGAAGATTTAATGTTTGAAAAATGTGTATTTTGCCGGTAAAAAAACCTTTGGTGGTGCGTGGGTAACTCTCGCCAACCCCGAATCTTTTCATACAGAATTTCGAATTTTAAAAATTTATATCTTCGCGATTATTGACTGAACTTACTCCCTTCAAATTCACCATTCTACTAATTTTAATTTGGAGTAGTTTCAGTTTCAGAGTTTTAGTTAAACCAACTTCACAATAAGAATTAGTATTTAAAAAGACGACGAAGTGAATTCAGTTCAAATAACTTGAAGGACATTACACCAGTCTTCTAGTTTGCTCGACTGTGTCAAGTGTATTAATAAGAGTCAAGTGATACGGGCCGAGCTTGCGCGAGAAAAACACACATGGCTAGCTATGCCGCATCAAAAGACAAAAAAGTTGCCTGGCCATGGATCGTCTTCTTACCTTTGTCTGGTCAGTGAACTTAGAGAGCTAGCTAGATGGTTTGACTAAAAGACTGGTAACGCCAATTCCAAAACACAAAAAAGAAAAACACCGGATTAACTGCTGATGAATCGCACAACTTGGAACTGAGCGCTACAGACAAACCGTACGTGCGTGATCCATGTTATCGCTACAACCAAAATGAAGAGGTCTGGGTAAATTCTGACTCAAGGTGTACAGGTGTTTTATTTGCAGGAACTTGTGATGGTCTGTAAAAAAGAGAAGAAGACAAATGAATTCTTGGCGTAAATTAGCCATTTGTGAATAGGCCTTGCATTGCATTGTAGATAGATCACAGATGTGAATGACAAAAATGATAACATACGAAAGAATCATGCAGTGCCAAGCTATCAAATATCCCAGATAAGTTTGGCTGCAAAGAAAGCTTTAATTTCTCCTAAAAGATATAATCTAGAATCAATTTAGTAAACACGTACGGACGTATGCTTGTTATAAACGAGTGAATTTTATAGCTTTAAAATGTAAACAAACATACAAACCAGGTTACCAGCAACCACGTTTTTTATTCACACGATGATCGAGTAAATTTAAAAACCAGTTAATATATTATCGATTAATATTTATTAATATAGTAATATGCATTTTTTCATAACTGGAAGCCCGAATTATTTTGCCATGCAAACAAAAATTTTTGATACGTACATACACTCCATGACTTTTATGAAAAGAAAAGAGCATATATACCTCTATATGTAATAACTTTACATTGGGTTTATTTTAAAATGACATTGCCTTATGATCGATTTCTCCTCAAAATACAGATCCATTTTCTCTAGAATGAATTCAAGCACACGATTATCATTGGATTTTTCTTCATTAGTACAAGGGCATGCCATGAATACTTTCCGTCATTAAATGCATACTGAWGTACATCATATCTTTCCAGTTTCTTAGAGTGTGGATCATGCTTGAAAACGGTCTTGACTGTTATATTTTTTTCTTATTTGCTTCGATTATAGTTGCATTACGATTATTTCACTTTTTAAGCAGTTTTTTCTTTTGTTTCATTTATATCTGCGTTTTGCTTTAGCAATCCTATAGACTGGAAAGTCTACATCAATCCAGTGTTACAAACGTCGTTGCGTAGTTGAAMAGTTTTCTTGCAATTGCACTTTGAATTATTTACATGTGAAATATGCTAATCTTATATTCCGATAGAGCAGCTTGGCTTGCATCCAAGGGGATCCTGCAAATTTAGATAACAAATATGTACCCTTATTTGCTGTTTTAATTTGCAGTCTTATTCTAGTATCATGGTTATTTATCCTAGTTATTACATTGAAAATATAAGTATATTCCAGTAATTATGTTTGTTTACTATCTTAGCTCGATCGCACCGTATTCAACATCATTTCACTATTCCCCCGTCCCCCCCATGTTTCACTAAATACACGCACACACATCAGGTTACACACACTCACATCAGATAACAAACACACGCACCAGGTTACATCAGGTTACAAGCTTACACATCAGGTTAGACACACATCAGATTACACACACACGCATTACGCACATCAGGTCACACACACATCAGATTACACACACACTTATCAGGCTACACCCACACGCATCAGGCTACACCCACACGCATTACACACATCAGGTTACACACTCATCAACTTACACACACACGCATTACACACATCAGGTTACACACACATCAGATTATACACACACGCATCAGGCTACACCCACACACATCAGGTTACACCCACACGCATCAGGCTACAYCCACACGCATCAGGCTACACACACATCAGGTTTAAAAATTATATGTGCAGTGATCAATAATTTTTTTTGAAATTAACCTGCTTTCTTTTTCCTTTCTGAAATAAACATAMGTTTATATTTAGAGGCCTATGACGATTTATCGCCTACGATACTACTATACGAGCCGGATAACTTTAGGCGCTTTTGATGGGACACGTACCATAACCGCTCCATATTTGCATGTTCAAAAACAATTTGATTACTCAGTAGCAAACGCTACGAAATTCGGCTGATTTACGTGATTTTGTTTATGCATATATCGATAAAACTTCGAGATTTGATTAYAGCATACCTTTTCGACGGGCAAAAATAACACAGGCTAACACTATTTCAAATGACACTATTTCAAATTTCCTGATTTTTTAAAATTTCAAATAGAACCAGCTCGTCTTAGTGCAATGTTTACCCATTTCAAACCACGCGTTAAAAATCAACTTTCTAAACTAGATTCCAATTTGTTCTTAGGAGATATTCTCGATAGGGTTAACCTTCTCATATATACTTTCGTCCTATGATACGWATTCAGGCACAATCGTTAAACAAAGAAAAGACACGTGGTATACACTTGGACGAGTTAAGTCTATTCGAATAAACCCATCCACCTCATATTATTGCTTCCCGAACATATTTTATCAATATGACGTTCTGAAAATAAATGGCACCGATCTGCCTCGGCGTTTGGCTGGCTGTCATGACACAGCATGGGATAGACAATAATCTGATCGCCTGGGATTAGCTCAACGCATGTCTATACAAATGCCGCTTTTTTGAGTCTTATGAAATCCGTTCCCTATTCTTTATTTCCACCCCACTGCACTAGGATCAGTCTCACTCATTACTGTTTTATTAGCCCGATCTATACTTAGAAGTCGATTTGACCTTGATTTTGGCTYTCTTTGGGATTTTCTTCTTGTTAGACGACACTTGCAGGTACGTAAGAATCCTCGTCTAAATTGTTCGCTGAAGAAGTAGTAAAGAATTGGATTGGTGAAGCTATTTGAATACACCAACACTTGTGTGTACGATAGCAGTACCCAGTAGTATCTGAAATAAAGAAGTGCTGGACTCAATCTCTGTTAAACAGTACCGAACACTAGAACGCTAAAGGCGCAAGAAAAGTTTAACAGATTCAGGCCTTTAAAATAGAGGTTTCATATTTTCATTTATAGATACATAGGCTGAGATTGGTTCTGATGCAGTACGAAAATGGACACTGACAAGGCGAATTAGTTATTAGGCTTTGCTCGGAAAAAATGAATCGCGCGCTGAATGTCACACTTACCTATATGTGGATCCTTTTCCAAACTCAAACCACAACCAGACCACGTGGTAAGGAAGATAGCAAATAAAGTAAGCAACTACTACCATGATAAGCATGCGCACAACCTTCCCCTTTGCCTTAGCCACTCTGAATCCCTCTTGGTCACTATTCTCTCGTGCAGCTTTTTCAAGCTTAAAAATAACTATTGCATACCATATTGCCATCAAAGGAAGTGGCATGGCATAAGTAAGCACGAATGAACATGCTGTGTAGACCTGTCGATACTGTTTACTTGGCCATCCAAATTCGTCACACATCCGTCCATGCTTAGGTACTAAAAGGGTTTTCATGATCACCAACACAGGAAGATTCACTAAAAAGGCTAAGAACCAGATGCCAGCTATTATAAACTTAACCTTAGATATACTTATTCGAGGCTCGTAGGGATACGCAATGGACCGGAAACGATCTGTCCAAACAAAACAAAAAAAAACAAAAAAACAAAAAAAAAAAAACAAAAAAAAACAAAAAAAAAATTAACCATACTACCTACATAAACGACCCAAGTATGGATTGAAGCCCCCTCATTTACATGCGTATTGTACGCGATGGGACTTTACTTGTGAAACTCCCATTAGGCATACAAGCTCTTAGCTAACTCAGTCTTGATCTTATCAATTGTTATGGATGAAATTATTAATTCAAGATGCAATGAAGACTTTTTTAGGAAGAGAAATATACTTGAGATAAAATTATCTTGGATGCGAAGAAAATAAATAGTCCAATAAGGAGAAAAAGTGTGAATTATTTCGTATGTCTTTGTTATCCTCCTTTAAAACTGTTAAAAGAGACTTTTGAAATTGGCGTATGGTTGCCACAGCTGGTTGGAACCAGCAACAGTAATGGTTGTCAGGATACTAAAACAAAAGCAGATGCACACTTTCTATTAAGTAAAAGCTACTAAAGTTCAATCGTCAACTCACCAAAGCTGATAGCTGATAAGGTGGCTACTGACGCCATGATTGTCGTTGCTTGGAAAAAGGGTATTATCTTGCATAGAGCAAGGCCAAAAGGCCAGTAAGTCAGCTCTGCGTACGTCAATGTGAAAGGCAGGCAGATCAAGCCGACGCCGAGATCCGCGATTGAAAGATTACATATAAGATATCCAGTTACTGAAATATAACATATTGATGTAAATTAGTAAGTTTTCATTAAAACATTGCATGAACTATTAGAATATCGATACCAGATTAGTTAAGCATACCAATTAAAAAAAGAAAAAGATGGAATTTAAAGAAGAAGAAGAAAAAAGAAAAAGAAGTGACTTCAATTGACGACCTTTCTAGCTTCGTATGCAATTTGCCCATTTCAGATCACATGACATTTCCTTGAGAATAGTTCTTTTATGACGAACATGTTAATAAAATATCAACACATGAAAGAATCAACTTTCAAGAGTAGCAACACATGGTCTGAAATGTGCACAACAAACAACGAAGCTAAAAAAGCACACTGAGGAAGTTATTTTTATGTCTTTTGTTATTGAAAACTCGTTATTTTGGATAAGAATGACGACACAGAAAGTGCGCGCCCGTGCTATTTGCACTCATAAAGAATGTGCCTCCAGTGCAACCAATCAGAAATCGAGATTTATAATATAAATAATATAATAACATATGATAATAATAGTAATAATAATAATTATTATCATTTATAATATAATCGTCGTTTTTCAGTCGCTGCGCCCAGATTATGGAATACTATACCACTTTCTATTAGGCAGGCGCCCAATATCAGATTAATTAACATTGTAAAGAAAAAGTGAAAAACTTATCTATTTCAAAACGCTTATGATTATAGTTGATACATATTCATATCTATCTATCTATCTATCTATCTATCTATCTATCTATCTATCTGTCTTTAGATTCATGGATGGCCCTAGTGTAACCTAATAATAGATAGCATTTTTCGTACTCTTAAAAACGTGCTATTTCAATCCAAATAGTGTGGATTGACAGATATTGATGCTGTTCCTCCTCCCTAGGAGTCACTCTTTCATTGCTTTCGTTTTCAAATTTTACGAACTTCACAAACCTAGCTATGTTACATTAGGGAACATGGTCGTGGATTCTGCGGTTTCTTAATCGATCAAAAACCCAATATGATAGGAATTCAGGTTAGATCATGCTTAACAATGTCTACTGATGCCCCCAAACATCCACTCAGTATTTAAGTTTCATTAGGAAATCGGGACRAAAATTTCAAGTAAGTTCGTATGAACTTCACTAGGTCCTAGGGTTTGAAGAAATTTCAAAATGATCAAAAAACGAGCATCTTCATGAAAAATTGCAATATCTTTCCACTCTTTTAATGTAGTGCCCCCAAATTCAAGCACTTACATTCTAGATAACTGTACTAGATGTCCTCAAGATTTCATGCAAAAATATTGGGTAGAGTTTGAGTTAGAAGGATTTTCTTGGCCAAAGTTGTCGAAATGTGCGTAACCGAAAAGTAGCTGTTTTGAGCAAATCTAACCATTCCAAGCGGATAATGATAACTTCTTACAAACATTGAGGATAGGAATGGATTTTATACCAGTTGATAAKAGGTTTCTTYCRCACACTACACCAAAAGTGGAGGATAAAATAACATAATTCTAGGAAGTTATGATTTTTTATATGTACCCCTGTAAAATGSCGTTCAAGTTACAAATGGGAAAGTTAGGGTTAAGTTGGAATAAAGTTTTCTCCAGGTTCCATTTTGTTCGCGAAACTTAATCTCTTGCCATGAATAGAATCAATTCGGTGAATCCTAATACACAATTGAGTTGCTTTCGCTAATTTGCTTGTTTTGAATTTTTAATCTCCAACATTAAAATAGTACAAAAGGGAACATCGGCGAAAAACACCGAAATTATAGCTTCTTCTACAAGACTTTTTTGTAAGACTTTTTGATGTAGAATTCTAATATGCGCATCACCAACTTGTTAGATGGTTTGTAAGAGTGTAAAATAGTGTTTTGTTTTGCAGAATACGGCGTTTCTCCCTTGTTTTATCCGTCAACATTTAGATACATTATTCGCACGTTTTTGSTGTCATATGTTTGTAATCTTTAATCTGTAACAGCTGTACAGCTACTTCTAATAATAACATTAGTTCGTCATTTTTATTATTGCATTCGTTTAAATCGTTTCATCAGTGCATTTGCGCAATTACGTAGGAGGCTCATCGCTTTTTTATGAAAGAAAACGGAGGATGAGCTACATAGTCGTGATTTTTGAATTTTAAAACATTTTACTAAATAACCTTACTTTACAAACTCAAGACAGTCAAGGTGCTGACACAGCACTGCTGCAGCGTGTCTACCCCATGTTGTTGCACGCAATGTTACATGCAACAATTCTGAAGTTGAATCACGCTCTGCTGTTGCAACATTGTGCGCAACAAATGTCATCATGTGAACATGTCTGCAACATTACCTGCAACATTTTGAAATTTCCAGCCAATCAGCTTGCACCAAATTTATAACTGCTGACCAAATATCTTAGCATAGCAGGCTGACACAAGCGATGTTGCATGACATTGTTGCAATGTCACTCCGATTCAAATTTGTTGCTTGCAATGTTGCGTGCAATGTTGCACCGTGTGTCAGCAACTTAAACGCCATTGAAATATTGATGATATCATAAAGGCCATAACTATAATAAGTATAGCTGAAGTTACTTGCACTACTTCAATCGTTTGTTGCATTGCACTGTGTAAAAATACCATTAAACTTCAAGGAAACAAAACACAACCGAACACTACTTTTTTGTGGAATTCAATCAGCTCACTAGACGAGACCTGCTGACGGGGACCAATACAGGCCGAAAAAGCTGTCCACGCTATCTAGTTGAGCTGGCTCATTTTTTACGCGACTTGAAGTTGTGAAAGGCCCATTGGCCTTGTTACGAGGAAGATATTTGTTTGAAAAGAATCAAAATTAATTCAGTTAAAAATAAATAACAGTCAAAAAACCGGAAATATGAAAATTTCAACTTTGCGTAACATATTCTGGTTTAATTAAAGTTTTCATGGCAACACCGTCAAGCACACCAACCTGACTGTTTTACCCTGCATTCAATCCAAAGTAAGTTTTAGACACTTTGGGCTGCATGATGCTAAGATATTCTATATTTGGTGCTTTGACTCCTCTAATGACGTCATCATTTTCTATATTGAATATCTCACCAACAAAAAGAGATTTTTAGGGGTTTGAAACTGATGTGAGTGATTTGTTTACAAATACACGCACAAGCTGTTTGTACATTGAACGGGAAATTTCTCAATACTGCGCGAGGCGCAGCCAGCAAGTGCGTGTATTTGTAAACAAAACACTAACTTTAAGTCTCTAATACTTTTAATAATGTGAGTACACTGCGATACATGACCTTCGCTGTTTCGGACGATGACAGACCAAACAAATATAAGCAACAATATCAATATCACGACTAAATTAGAAGAAAAACTTTAATAAATCAAATTCAAAATCTGTTAAATAAACCGTAAAAACTGAAAGAAAATAAATTTACGAATAGTTTCATTCAATATTTGAAGAAAATAATCATTCTTCACTGACAAAGCTGCACACACAGCACAGCCACTTCCAAGATATGACTGTGTTTTCGGACTTAACATAGAAAAAGACCCAARATCTTGAAAATCGACACACTCCAATAAATTTGTCTTTTCTTACTTGATGGTATGTTTTTTAAAGATATTTTCATCCTCTAAAGCACTAGATATTTCAATAACACACAATTTTTATATATCGCCAGACAATACAAAATCACATGATCGATTTTCACCAATGATATGCCAGAATTTTGGACAGTAAACAAAGATTGAATACATATTAAGCGAAAATCTTGTTTTTTTTTTAATGAAGGCTTTCATTAGGCATCCTTTAGGATTTATRTGCACTTTACGTTCACTCACTGAAACACTCGCGTGGCCTTTAGCTTTTACCTTTGCGAGGTTTTATTTGCAGTTGTTCACGTGGTGTTTCCCACAGCGTTGATAGTGCGAAAGAACACAAATCAAATGCATGTCATTTCCCTTAATGCCCTCAATTGAATTATCCATACTCTTGCACGGCTTAATGGTTTAGATAAAATCTTATACCGGGTAAATCTTTCTGAACAGAAGTGATAAAACTATAATTGAGGTTCAATCACGAGAAAATGAAATAAGAGAAGGAATCCCCGCGCCCCACCAGTACTCTTTGTTGCTWTTTTTAGAATTTTTGATGCTATTTTTAGAATCATTCATTTGATCGTTTGTTTTTCTGCACGTGCGTACTGCGCGCGCTCTACCCTGTTTACTCATGTTTTCTTGTGGTTTTCCAAACAAAAAACAAAAAGCAAAAAACAACAACAACAACAACAAAAACAACAACAACAACAACAAAAAACAAACAAAAACAACAACAACAACAAAAAAACAAAAAACAAAAAACGTGAGCAAACAGCGTAGATCGACTCGTGCACAAAAACAAAGGTATGATTCTAAAAATAGCATCAAACGGTGCCTATGATGGTTACAAGCATGAATAGCAGAGATTTCGTTTCTTAGTTCATTTTCTCTTTGTTCGATTGATAAATGTATATCTAATTAAATCAAGGCCGACTTAACGTCTGTAGTGGGACATTATATAATATCGTGCTTTTTCTCGTTTTATAAATACACCAACACGTCCACTATACTATTATACACACTGATAATATAAGCAATGGTCTTTCACCCTCGCAGCTATTACAACCGCTTGATGAAAAAAAKATGAAAGTTAAAACATCGAGGAAACCACTAAATAGGTTTCTTAGAAAACATCCATTTATGATGCAGCTCTACTTGTAAACAGCAAATCGTCTGGTTATTAACCATATGATATTAAGGCCAGTAAGTTAGCTGATTGATGGATATTGCAGAAGGTTTGCGAAAAAATGATTAGAGAGAAGCATGTTATTAATATGAGAGAAAAGTAAATCAGTAATTGAAGGATAAACAGCCATAATGAGATGCTATAGGAAGGAAATACATATTTTTTAGTGTATTTTATTATCATATCAGTGAAATAACTCAAGGCAAACCGCAAAAAGGTCGGCAGCACTACCTACTATCAGATGGAAAATGAAATTTTAGAATATTTTTTTATCTTTGATGTTTTATATATAGTAAACTTAGTTTTCTTCTTAAGCTAGCACTAAAAGTTATTCAATTATCATAAGTGGACAAATAGATGGATGGACGGATGGACGGAGGGACGGACGGACGGACGGACAGACTGACGGAACTGAACGGAATGGAATGGAATGGAATGGAATGGAATGGAATGGAATTGATGGATGGATGGATGGATGAGTCATGTATAATAGTATAAAAGATTTGTCTGCAAGTGTTTTTTTAAGTCCACAGTAATAACCGACAAAGGGTGTGTGATTATCCACAAGGGAAAATATTGAAAATTCATTAAGGTCTAAGATTGTAATCACATGATATCCTACTGGACAAATACCAAACTATAATTATATTTTAATCAATCGAAATTGCTTTAGTTTTAGTGTAAACTGAAGAAGTCTTGAAACTGAGCAAAACAATTAAACGCTTTCCTTCGTTTATCAAATGAAAATTTTAATGAGACCAAAGCGAGCGGAATCATTTACAGAAACRACGAATTAAAACTCATTAGATTTCTTTCTGCCATCAGCATGAGATTTTATTATTACCTTATCTGATCGATAAAACACAATATCAATACCTAACATCTAAATTCTTATGGAATATTATTAAAAGAACCGCTGTGAACTTTGTAAATAAAGCACACAAAAGTAAATTAAAGAAATAGCGCCATAAACCTATAAGAAACCAGAATTCACATCTGTTTTTGTAAAAATGTCTTATATTTCTAAATTTTGTAACTCACGTTTTTAGGGTAAAGAAAAACCAAAAGGGTATAGGTTTATCAGTGGTTGTCAATGTCAAGAAACATATGCCCCAGGGCCGYAGAATTTTCTAGATTGAGTGATATACGATAAATCTGGTTGACAAAATAACTGAATATATAATGAAARAAATCAAATCCAAATAGATAATACAGATATTGAATGTTAAAAAAAGTAAAGAGTAAAGCCATTAGGAAGAAAGGTTCATATCACGATAGCTACTAATGAAAGTGCCAAAGGCTTTTAAACCCGATGCCAAGATAAACTTTGCTAGAAATACTTCATTGATTATCTTTGGATTAATTTTACTCAGATTTAACTATACGTCATTAAAAAATAAATATTGCACCTTCAACAATATAAATTCAGCATAAATTAAAAACCATCAACAATGCTTTCTCTAATTTTTAGAATCTGATAAAAAGATATGTGTAGTGGTATTATAGACAATCATTCGATGGTTTATTCTTCACCGCTTCTTATCATGGTTAATGCAAGAAACGACGCTTAAGTAGGGCACTTGACAAACAAGACTAGCAGCATTTTGTGTTAGACAATATAAATAACCATAATGTTTCTATCTGCAGCAAAATACTATATTGATGTCAAGAGCGGATAGACCTTCTCAAATGTGATCGATATCACGACCTCGAGACCAATTTCTTCTGCTCTTTATCACCATTTTTTCTTTTGAAAAACACGCAAGCTTTATAAATAAATAGAGGGTTAACGCTCGTTAGCCTGAACTTTCATTAATATTGCGATATCTTAAAGGATTGTATTTTAAAAGCAATAAAAAAAGAAGCTGAGCTTTCATCGCATCTTTAATTATAGAATCACACAAAGAGGACAGCCGTCTGGTTTTTCATAGTATCGCCATTGCTTAATTTAAGTTTAGCTACTATAGTGTCTTGATTTCTAGCACGCCCGGCAAAAAAACAAACTTAGTTTACTCACCTGAATGAAGTTCTCTTGTACGAAGCACAATAAAGATAACAAAAATGTTCCCTACAACAGTCAATAGAAAGATTATGGCATAAAGAAATAAGCGAAATACATGCGATCCCAATGGTTCTGGATACCATAAACCATTTTCCTCTCCTGGTATAGATGCTACGCTGGAATTTGTAGAGTTGTTCATGGCGATTCGATTTTGGTCCTTTTCTTGCCACTGTTCGTGTTAGTCGAACTTTGAGAAGCGGGTGTTGGTTGTTGCCAGTGTCCTTGGATATATAGAAACCATCTGGGCAATCGATAAGTTATTTGTAATAACCAACTGAGATGCAAAATAGGTTGACGCTATTGAAATCTATATTGCAGCGGCGAAACTTTAGAAAAATAGATTGTTGTATATACAAGTAAGGTAGAATGAGCTATTAGGATTGCCTCTTATGTACTTCTGTAATGTATGTTAGTTGCACTATTTGCTTAAAAAGTTTGTAGTCCTTAATCTTGTTGCCGATGAGAGTCAATTGCTGACAAAATTGTTATCCCAAATGATGTTGTGTCAGAAATATATTGCTGAAACTGTCTCTTTGTGTTAACACCTTTTGTCTCAGTACCGTGACGGAATTCCCATGACATGCAGAGAATTGTTTGACAAATAATTTCCTTCATCACCAATGAATCAAGCTCGTTCCTTGCGAGTCTGAAAGAAGCTTTTAATTAGCGTATTTTGTTTTCCCCAGATCCCTCTCTTGACTACTCAAATTCCAATCATATTAATCCAGGATTTTCACATAGTATGCTTGGATGACGAAACATTAAATCCACACATTTGTACACAGTTTGATTGATTTCCAAATATATCCTACGCAAACAAAGCTAGAAAAAGGTGAAACGGATAGGCCCCAGACAATCTCAATGTGTGGTACGAGAGATATGTCCCGATATATTTAACTAAGCTCATAAATTAGTAAGTAAACTCCGTTTGACTTGAATATCTGTCAGTAACCTGGGCATTGCCGTCTTCTCAGTTTCAATATTCCAAGGATTCTCTCGATGACACATTCRCATGATTTGAGTCCATTTCTCTGTAGACCACCTGACAACTCAAAACAGACAACAGTAGTGTCTGATGGGAAAGCTAAGTGCCAAATAGGGTACGGTTCGGCCAAAAGATGGCCTTTCGAAAAGTCTAATTTACCAAATGTGATAAGCAATGTTAAAATGCAGCTAGCATTTAAGTTTGCACTAAAGTTTCCATTTTTTCCCATTTATGGATATACAGCTATTTCAAAAAATCTTAATAATCCGGAATACTGAATGTGCTATATATTGCGAAATGCTGACAACTCATGTCATTGTGGCAGATAATGACAACAGTCTCTTTTGCAAGCCAAGTGCAGGTATCCAAGATATTCTATATGATATAAGTACGTAATGGTTTTATTTGGATTTAACCTTAAGTCTATTGTTAAGGAATATGTAGGCTGTGGTRAACTCGGAGTATCCAATCGAGAGAAGCAATGCAAGCTTATGAACACGAGGCGTAGCCGAGCGTTTCTCTTGCTTTTCGAGTGCTCTACTCCCCCCCCC